GGGGGGGGGGGGGGGGGGGGGGGGGGGGGGGGGGGGGGGGGGGCTTGGCGACTACGCACAGGGTTAAATTGTGGTTTAATTCCATCTTGTTGCCTCAGTAAAAGGGAATTTCATTATTGTGTCAGTGACCATAAAGCCTCAGCGCCTTCGTAGATTTCGTAGAATGTGAGCAGGCCCCTTATCGGGCGTAGGAGAATTGTTTTTGGCTTAGCTTATCGTGTATGGGGGGTTGGGGTTCGGGCGTAGTCGGGGTAAGGTGTTGTTTGGGCGAAGAAAAATGTTTATTTTCCGTGGGCGTGTGCTGGAAGCGCAACATGGCCCCCGTTTTCTTCTCTTTTTTTTCTTGCGTTGTGTGTGTGTCTTGTGTTTTGCCTTGACTTACTCTTCGCTGTTGCCTTGCTCGAATACCGCGCTTGTATTTTTGCATTTGCATTCGCCTCGGCAATGCTCGTGATTGCTTGTCATCGTTTTGTTTTTTTCCACCACTACCACCAGCACCCAACCCTCCTGGCCATGGGGACCCTTGAGATGTTCCTCTTGGCGAGTCGTTGGATATGTAGGATGTAACCGACCTGTATCATGCGCCGAAACAGGCTGCAGCGGAAGAACAAGGTTGGGGGTGGGCGCATGGTAGGGGGTCTCATGGCGGGACCATCGCGTTCTTGTCCATCCCGCGGGCAACGGCGGCCCCGTGGACTGGACAATCAAGCGGACAGGGGAGGGGTTGGAACCGGGCGGGGCAGGATCGGTATCGCCGCGGCTACTGGTGCCTGGCTGAAAAGCGTTGGTAGGCGGCGACATCGACTCTCTCAGTCGCGGCGTGGAGAAATGTGTGATTTCTCGCTGGTCCGGGCCGCGTTCAGAAAATGACGACTTTTGACATGCGAGTTGGCTGGGTCTCAGCCCGTCTTAAAAGGAGTTCGCTTGTGTGTACATTGCTTCCACGAGTGCATCGGTTCCTTCCATCGGGAGGGAGGAGTTCTACCACCTCCCTTTGGTTGTACAGGAGCACGCAAAGAAAGAAGCGTCACTCTGCCCCTCCCGGGCAGTATCGCCGCTTGAACCAACCACTTCCTTACCTTCGGACTTGTAATTTTTTTTTTGGAGGGAGGGGGGGGGTAGTTCGCGTTTGTTCCTCTATGTGGGAATAATCCTTGCGTATGCCGCAAGCGTGGATATGGTAGTCCCCAGCATAGTTTCTCGCTCGCCACACGTGGGCAGGACTCTCTCACGGGCCCTTGCCCTAATGGCATGGATGCGGCAGGGCGGGGCGGACTTGTGCCGCGTGCCCGCGTGGGGAGACGAGTGACGTGCGCCCACGATGGAGCAGCCGTGGGTAGCAGTGAGGGAGGGGAAGGCTCGAGGGGGGAGTGATGCATCATTACGAGTAGGGTTATGATTGCGGGAACACGGGTGTAGGTAAGGGATCGAGGGCGCGGTCATGTTTTCGTGCGGTGCCGTTGTGGACGTTTTTTTTTTTTCCTCGTCTCGTGTCGAGGGGTGCAGTGTTTTCCCGCATCACTTCTGCCCGAAGACAACAAACTCGCACCAAACAAGTGCATTCGAGAACTTGAGAGAGATGGAGAGAGCTGGAGAGAGCTGGACTCAGCCTCATGAGTAGAGATTCGTATGGTATTTGCAAGATTCCGTGTGTACTGTCTATCGACTGCTGCTGCGGTTGTTTTTTCAGAAGGAGTGCTGCTGCTGCTGCTGAGACTTCAAGAGTCCCCAGAACGACAATCAACTTTGTTTGTTCCGAGTTCTTTTTCTAGCGTTTTTTTTTCCCTAGAACCTACTTGCGCACCTCCGCCGAGCTTTCTTTGCAAACATACGTTCGTTTGTAGCTATACGGGTACCGTAGCAACTGGTGCTTATTTCCAGTGCTTGCACCACTTTCGCAATGCCTGTTGCGACTCGGTTGAACGCTCACCCTGAGTGACGGTTGGTTTCAGTTAGTCAAGCCTTCCACCGTGGATACCTTGTATCGTTGTCGTTGATATCGTCTTGAGGTGAATAAACCAAGCTTTTACCAAGGGCCCTTGCTTCTCTGCCATTCAAAGGTAGCGAAGCAAATGGCCACAAGCTGTCAACCAACGCGAGGTTCGTTCAATTTCCGGTAAACTACTGTCTTGTCACGATGGACGGTCGTACCTTTCATCCTCGGCGGAATGGAAAACAACTGCGAGCCGCTGAAAACAAAACGGGATTTTACATATGCGTACAACACTTGGAAAACACACCACACACCATCATTTTCGCTTACCCTCTCACAATGTGAAGGGTCTCTTACTCAAAATGAGATTATCGATCGCCTTTCGACACTCGATTCCACTTCGTTCGATGAAAATGAATATTCGGAGGGATTCGAGTTGACAGAGCACAACTCTATTACCCTTCACCTACCGCGCTCCGGTATGGGGTATCGTGCTTCTTCACGAAAAAATAGAGACCAAACCCCGAGGAAACGTGGCGAGTCGGAAACATTGGCCACTCAGCACCCTTACGGCGGAGATATCTCTCATGGCAAAAGAGAGAAGGGAGCACAAAGGTATCGACCAGACTCAGCACCCTCTACATACTTCGTGTGCGTGTGCTGGTCTCGGGGGGCCGGGGAGGGGACCGAACAAGCGATAATTGGAAAGAAACGCCCGATGATATAAAGACTAAAGCTATACAACGTTTGCGTGCAGCGGTGGGTAAGCGACACTGCACTTGTCCTCGATCTACAGCAAATGACAGGTTTGCAACGCTCCGCCTCGCCCCGCCCCGCGCCCCGCTCCACCGCGCTTGGCCCCGCTATCACCAAGCGAGAGATGTAAAGGTAGGAGCCGGTTTGCGTGATCGGACGGACGCAAAGAGTTCCGGGTCAAGGTGAGGCCGAGCATCCCTCGAAAGACAGGTATGCTGGGGATGTGGTGATTTTTTGTCCTGCCGTATCACCTTCGGCGTTGAGTGCTGATGTACAGGACTGCAAAAGCGGGTGGGGGGGGGCGGCAGCAGCAGGCGCACAGCGGTGGAGGTAAGGACAAGCGCCGGAGGTCACCAATCTTAGTCGCTGTTGCAGCAAAGAGCTCTCCCCCCCTTGTCTCATCTGCTCTTCCTGCCTCGTTCTACCGTAATTGTCTCCTGCTCGTTTTTGCGCCATATTGGTTCGCCTTTCCCTTTCTCTCTCCGCATCGCGTTGCTCTCCCCCCGACCCCCCGTCTGTTTTTTATCTCTCCCTCCCTCCCCGTGGTGGGCGATTTCAACTCCAGAAAAGGGAAAGCTTCCAGTAGAGGACAGGCGGTCGGGCAGCACGGAGAAGACAAAGTGAATGACAACGGAGTGAGGATGTTTGAATTCTTGGGAAGCAACGAACTGATGGTGTTGAACGGTAGGAGGGAATGCGATAAGCCGGAGTTCACCAGGCAACGGGCAGTTTGCAATGAATACTCGATCCTCGGCCACATCCTGGTAGACAGGGGGAGCACGCAGATCCCAGAGCTGCACGTAAGTGCGATAGATATAGGTTCGACCGACCACTTCCTCATATGGGCAAACATCGACCTTTCTAGAAAGATGAAGAGTAAGAAACAGAGGAAAGTGTTCCGGTGGAAAGTAGAGCGTTTGGGAGACGAGGGGACACGGGATGAATTCCAGAAGGGACTGGCTGGTAGTGTAGAAGCCTTCAGGAACTGCTGAGAAGCGTCGAAGACGGACAGGTAGACGTACAAGCAGCAGGGGACAGGGTGATTGAAGGGTGGGAGTCCATCGTGAACGCAACGGCAGAGAGAGTAGTGGGAAAGAAGGTGGTACGATGTGGGGT